CACCTGGGTGGGCCCTAAATATGATAATCTTCGGTGTGCCTTCGGTTCCGCCAATTGCTGTAAATAGAAGAAACCCAAGTTCGCAGAAGCTTCTATTCACAGCAGAAATGCGGAGATTTCAAGGCAGCCAGAAATGTTTCTGAAACATATAATTTAGGTATCAACTTCAGCGGGCCTGAAAACGTACCCGAAACTTCAAATTTCCACGCGACCTAAGTTGAAGCCGAAACTAGCCGATTCGGGAATGTTTTCGGCACACCTGAAATGTTTTATTTCAGACATCATTTAGGCCCGGCTGATGCTGCTTCTGAAACTATAGGTTTCAGTAGCAGTTTCGGCCAGGCCTAAACTTATTGTTTCGGCAGCTCCGGAACTGCCACCGAGAACAATAAGTTTCGGTTTATTGTTTCGGGCGCACCGAAGCCGAATCTACGCCGGTCTAGACCGCTCTAGGCCTAGTTTGGGTGGTGCCGAATCAGGTGGCGAAACTTATTGTTTCGGAAGCGGTTCCAGAGCTGCCGAAACAATAAGTTTAAAGCATGCTGAAACTGCTACTGAAACCTATAGTTTCAGAAGCAGCTCCAGATGGGCCTCAACAGCGTCCGAAATAAAAAATTTCAGGTGTGCCGAAATCATACCTGAATCGGCTGGTTTCAGCTTCAACTTAGGTCGCACAGAAACTTGAGGTTTCGGGTACGTTTTCAGGCCCACTGAAGTTGATACCTAAATTATATATTTTAGAAACATTTCCAGCTGCCCTGAAATCTCCACATTTCCGCTGTGATTTAGCGTCTCGCGAGCGTTAGATGGTTGCGAAACCCCTCAAAAAAGCGTCCCGCAACAGAAGTTGGGGCCAACTTCCAGGTTCGGTAACATAGGTGTATACAATGCCGTTTTGGCAGCCAGAATCTTGGGAAGATGCGGAATCTGAAGAGCGAATCCATAAATGAACTTGAGCGACAAATCAAGGAAGCATATCAATTTACATAAACCAGCACAATAACTATAACGGTACCACTCCACGAACTACGGAGAGAATTCAGCCATTCATCCCGATTCGGCGCAATTCTTATCATGGCAGTTAGTCCATACATTTCTAAAACATCCAACATAAGCAAAGATCTACAAGACACGAATTCAGGAATATAGAACTCACCCCATTTACGCAGCTGTAGCAAGTGCAACAAAAAAGGGTCGCGCTGCAGGCCCCCTTGGAGCAGGTCTCGGGCTGGAGCGCTCTGAGCACCGATGGAGGCCCCGGGCATGCGCGTTCCTCGGTAGGCAGAGCAATTGTGGTGGCGGCGTGCATAAGCGCGGCGAGAGTGAGAATGAGTTGAGAGGAGTAGCGCATTGATTGTTAGTGGTGAGTGTGGTGAGGACAAGAGCGGAAAACGGGTTCCTTTATAGGAGAATTGGACAGGTCTTATCGTCATGTTCGCGTTGAACGGATCTTCAGTGGACAATCACAACTGTTCTCATATGTTCAGGAAACTTTAACTAAAGCCACTTGAGATCCGGCTGTCACTTTTTCGGTATTGAAGATAGCTCTGGCGAGCATATCGGCAGTTCAACAAAGCTGGTCAATGACATACTGGAATACATTCCTTGACATGTTCAACGCTACAATTCTCCGACGTGAATCACGAGTGAACTTCTCTGCCGGCGCTGAACAAATGATCTTGACTGAGGCTTTGATCGTTTGAAAGTCGGGAGAACCCAGGGCCTCAGGATCAGCCACTTGGGAGTGCTCCCGAGATGACAGTCCGTCAGCCATTCATCGACATAGACATAGTGCCAACTTTAGACAGACCTCCAACAGCTGGTATAAATTAAAGGCCATGTCTGCTACTGTGAACTTTGAACTCCTTCGAATAGAGCCCATGACATCGCTTAGAGAATCTTGCGTCCAAGATAGCAGGCAGTGCACTGGCCGCTAAGCGCTGGCACTGACAGTAAGGGGACAGGCCGACAACAGCGGGACAAGGATCCTAGACTCTGAATTCAAGCTTCGAGTACATGCATGTGATCGGCCATAACCGTGTACGGTTACGTTGGGGATCCTGGACGTGAAGGGCCGCATAATGACCTCGTCAGGGTGCCTGTTTGTCAGGCCACTTTCAGTCAGTCGTTGTACTAAAATAAGTCTCACATAGCGCAGGACTCCGGGCCGAGTGCTTCACTCAGCTGAGGTTTCATAAAGGCACGTTCGACTTCCCGCCAACCATCACGTGACTGCGTTCAATCACCTATCTATCTTATCCGAGAACCTGGGCCCAGGTTCTCAGATAAGATAGATAGTTGACGCGGCGTTGACGCACATTGACGCGGAAGTTGACGCGGTTTCGTCACGGCATTCCGAACTCATGGTGCAGTTTTTCCTGCCCAAAAACTCAGAAAAATGTTCAGAAACACGTCCCCGGTAGCCTGCCACCGAGCAGAACATCGGGGAACTTTGTATGGACCCAAGTACTACTAGGTCGGCCTCAAAATAATATATGTTTTGTGTAATCTGGGCCAATTGTTCCGAGAAAAGCCCAGGTGCCTCTTTTACAGCGATTTGAGCAGTTTTGGAGAAAGCGCTGTGTTGAAGTTGAGCAATTGGCGCGTTAATGCCGCATCAATGCGCGTCAGTGCGCGTCACTCGCGTCAATTTCTCCGGACCCGGTAACGAGGTAGGGGGTCTTTATTTTATTCTTCTAATTTATCCTACATCTAATAGACAGCTTCATCGGCCTCAATAATGCTCCCATCTCTGCGATTTCTGTCTCCTTCTGACTAAAGAAGGGATTGAGCTCTACGAGGCATGAGCTGTTCTTTCGTTGTAGCCTCTGCCTACGAGAGCCTCATTGAGCTCCTCCTCCACCATCCTATACGGAAAGTCGCAGATAAGTTCGTTGGTAATCGAGTGTTGCGAGATGCTCCTGGCGGCTGCTCTGCTTAAGAAATCCGTACTTTCTTGAAGGAGGGCTGTGTCCGTCTTGACGTTCGCCACAGTGTTTTGATCCCGCCGTTGGACGCCCCACAGTAAACTCATCTGTGATAGTGCGCAAGTCTTCTGGCTCGATTACAACCATCGTCCCATCACACCACGCCTTGCTTGTGAAACCTGAGCACAGGTACGTGAGGTCCATCTCCTGCCAATGTGCGAGTTTCGGATCGCATCGGAGGTACTGTAGTGAGAGGAGACAGCGTACCGTGCCCGCGGGACTGGAAACCACGGTCCGCCAAGCTGTGAGAATCTCTACGTCGCCCTCGTTTTGTTTGGGGGGTGGGAACGCAGAGTTTTCTGCGCATGCTATCAAACCTGAGTTGTCCGCGACTGGCACGAACGGCGATAATTCCACAGGTATCGAATGCGGTGGCGCGAACGTATAAAAGCTTTTTTCACAGAATATTACGTGCTTCATGAACCGTGAACGTTCATTAGTACTTACCAAATGGTAGGCGCCGTGCACCGTGCACCACACCCGATATTTAGCTCTGAACGCGCGTCGGTAAAGGACGGTCGATTTCAACCGCCTCACGTTCGGGGTTCAACTTGAACCAATACTCGCAAGTTTTCGGACACACCCGCTCCCGCGGATAGAGGAGAATTTCTGGCGGATACGACTCGGATTCAGACGAAGCTGTCTAGATCTAGAATAAAATCTAAATTAGAAGTGGATCAAAATGAAAGGACCCAGCGACCGTTCTAGTTCGGGCGCGGGGAGTCGAACCCCACTCTACGGTTTACAAGCTTCCATCGTCGCCGAATGGTAGCCATCATGCACCGTGCACCACGCCCGATATTTAGCTGTGAACGCGCGTCGGTGAAGGAGGGTCGATTCTAACCGCGTCGCATTCGGGGTTCAACTTGAACCAATGCTCGTGGCATCTCAACCCAGGCTCCTCCACAAGTTTTCGAACACACCCGCTCGCGCGAATACATGTACAGAAGAATTGCTGATGGAGATTCAAATGAAGCAGGCTAGATTTAGGACAGAGTAGAACTTTAAAAAAGAACCTAGCCGTAATCCCCAGCTCGGGCGCGGGGAGTCGAACCCCGGTCTGCGGCTTGCAAGCTTCCGCTTTCGCCGAATGGCAGCCGCCGTGTACCGTGCACCATGCCCGATATTTAGCTCTCAACGTGCGATGGTAAATTACTAGAGTCCATTCCACGCGTCGCGAGGCCGTTTCACCCAATTGCACCGCTCTTCGGGCCTCACAAAAGTTTCAAACACACGTGTCCGTAGAGAGTTTCGGGTGGATGCGACTCGGGTTCAGGAGATGTAAGATGAATTAGAAGTGGGACGAACTAAAAACTCCCTACAAGAATGCCCCAGCTCGGGCGTGGGGAATCGAACCCCGGGCTGCGGGCTGTACAAAGATTTCGGCATCTTTCTATCCAATGGTTACCCGCCGTGCACCGTGCACCACGTCCGGTATTTAGCTATGAACGCGCGTTGGTAAAGTTCTACAGTCCATTCGACGCGTCCGCGAGGCCGTTTCAGCCAATTGCAACGTTCTCTTTCGAACACACCCGCCCGAGGCTGAACGGATAGAGAATTTCTAGCGGATGCGACTGCGATTCAGATGAAACTGCCTAGATCTAGGATAAATTTTAATTAGAAGTGGAGCAAAAAGGCGTACCCTCAGAAAATACCCGGCGCGGGGAGTCGAACCCCGAACTACGGCGTGTAAGATTTTTCTTTACTCCCCTCATGAAATGGTAGCCGCCGTGCACCGTGCACCACGCCCGATATTTAACCTTGAGCGCGCGTCGTTAAAGGAGGGTCGATTCCAACCGCCTTGATGCTGCGCATTCAACGTGAACCAATACTCGCGACATCTCAATCCAGGCTCCTCCACAAGTTTTCGCACACACCCGCCCGCGCGGATAGAGAAGAATTTTTGACGGATGCGACTTGGATTCGGATTAAGCTGCCTAGATCTAGAATCAAATTCAGCTTAGAAGTGGAACAAAATTTTTTAAAAAACACCGTACAAGAATACCCACGCAGCTCAGGCGCGGGGAGTCGAACCCCGGGCTGCGGCGTGCAGCATATCGAAACCTGGATGAATGATAGCCGCGGTACACCGTGCACCACGCCCGATATTTAGCTCTGAACGCGCGTCGGTAAAGTTCTACACTCCATTCGACGCGTCGAGGCCGTTTCAGCTCGTTGCAAGGTTCTCAAACCTCACACAGATTTCGAACACACCTGCCCGTACAGAAGAGTCGATCTAGCATGGCATGAATTAGAAGTGGAACAAAATAAAAATACCGCTCTCATGTATCAGTTCGGGCGCGGGGAGTCGAGCCCCGGTCTGCGGCTTGCAGTATTTCTCTTTCGATGGTACATGTAACCGCCGTGCACCGTGCACCACGCCCGATCTTTAGCCAAGCGTCGGTAAAGGAGGATCGATTCCAGCCACCTTTCATGCGGCATGTTCAATACTCGCGGGATCTGAACAACTTAGACTCACTCCAAAAGTTTTCGAACACACCCGTCACCGCGGATAGAGAATTGCTGGCGGATGGGACTCATGTTCGGATTAAGCTGCCTAGATCTTGAATAAAATTCAACTTAGAAGTGGTATAAAATAAAAACTGCCCAAATTTCGAGTTAGTTCGGGCGCGGGGAGTCGAACCCCGATCTACGGCCTACAAGCTGCTTCTACTTTCGCCGAATAGTAGCCGCCGTGCACCGTGCACCACACCCGATACTTAGCCCTGAACGCGCGTCGGTAAAGTAGGGTCGATTCCGACCGCCGCCATTGCACCCTCGCCTATCCTCCAACTCCACTCAACCTCCAAAGTAAATGTAAATTAGGCTGCCATATTAAATTACCGTGTACTATGTACCAAGTATGTACTCGAATCCGGGGGGGTGCGAATGGAATGTGAATGTGTGTGTATATATCCGATGAATAAATGCGCTGTATCCGAGTGTTTTGCGAGGAGATATGTGCGTGGGAGATATGCAGGAGGTATGAGATATGCGGGAGGTATGAGATATGTGAGGATGAGATATGTATGGATGAGAAGGAGAATGCATAAATGAAAGCGGAACCGAAAACGAAACGGAAAACCAGTGATAGATAATACAATATGTGCGTAGCGTGCGGGGTCGTGCGTCGTCGTCGTCGTAATCGTGCGGTCGTGTCGTGTCGTGATAATATGAGATGCATGCGGGAAAGACAAAGACGAAGGGAAACAGAGCAGAGCAGAGCGAAGGAAAGGAAAAGATAAAGCGAGGCGCCGAGCAACACAGCGTGCAGAGAGAGAGAAGCGCTAATTGAACTCCTGCCCCCCGGCAACGAGCACCGCAAACCACCCAAAAAAGCTCATCAAGAACCGCACCAGCCACGCGCCGTCCGCGCCCACCCCCAGCCCCGGCCGCAGCTGCATCGCCAGCGCCGCGTCCAGCGGGCTGCGCCGCTTGTTCCGCGCCCGCGCGTCGGCCTTCGCTTCGAGCGCGGTCGAGCTGGACGCGGAGTTGTCTTTCTCTTTCGCGGAGGAGGAAGGAGACGAGGAGGGGGAGGAGGGGGAGAGCGCGGAGGACGGAGACAGGAACGAGGAGCCCGCGGCCGGCGTGCCGGGGAACGCACCGGGCACGCGCAGCGGGAGCGTCGAGCTGGGCAGCCCGAGCGCCGGCGCGTGGTCCGCGCGCCGCGACCACGCGGGGCGGCCGAGGTCTTCTTCCTCGTCATCCTCTCCGTCCTCTCCCTGCTCCGCGTTCGGGGAGGCGCGCGAGGGGGCGCGCGAGGCGGAGCGCCGGTGCCGGAGGGCGGGGAGGAGGGCTACTGCCGACGAGGGGGAGGAAGGCAGAGAGGAGGCGGCGGAGAACGGCGACGCGAGGTCCTGCTCCCGCCTGTCCTCCTCGACCCCGATCGCGGTGCGCGGGTGGAGGGAGTCCGTGGCGAGACGGAGCGAGTGCCGTTCGTGCTCCTCCTCCTCCTGTTCCTGTTCCTCGTCGTCCTCGTCCTCGTCCTCGTGCTCCGCGTCAGCGTCTGCGTCTTCCTCCGCCTCCACCCCCCACTCCATCCCCAAACCCGCGTGCTCCGCCGGCGAATCGAGCTCGAGCGGCTCGATGTCCGCGTCGTCGATGTACACGAGCGGCGGCGGCAGCGGCATCGCGGGGAGCGCGAGCTCGGCTGGGTCCTCCACTTCTTCCTCCACTTCTGCCTTCGCTTCTGCCTCCACTTCTGCCTCCGAGTGCGCGTCGGCGTCGGCGGTCGTGTGGGCGTCGGCGGCGGAAGGCAGTAAAAAGGGGAACACCGGCAGCGCGAGCTCGCCGGGGTCGTCCGCCTCGCTCTCCGCCTCCGCCTCCTCGTGCTCCGCCGCGTACCCGTCGTCCTCGTCGGTCATGTAATCGTAATCGCGGTCGTACCCGCTATCGTGGCCGTAGTCGTAGGCGGGGGCGTTATCATAAGGGTCGGCACGCGCGTCGGTGTCGGCGGGGACGGTGGTGGAGTCGTCGTCCCACTGGATGAGGTCCGCGTCCTCCGCCGGTTCGGGGTCGTCGCGGTCGTGCTCTTCGACGGGCTCGGATTCGAGGTCGTGCACGTCCCCGGACTCGAGCTCGAGCGGCGCCAAGTCCGCAGGGAACGGCGTCCCCGCGAACGACGCGAGCACCGCGCCCACGGGCCGCACCGCCCCCGCCCACGCGTGCTCGCTGCCCTCGTCCCCCTCTTCGCTCTCTGCGTCCACCACGTCGTCCGTAGCGTCCGTAGCGGGGAACAGCCGCGCAGGCGCACCGTGCCGCGGCCCAGCCTCGAGGTCGCCGAGTGGAGCGATAGGGCCCGCCCACACGTGCTCGCTGCCCTCGTCCTCCGCGGGCACGTCCTCTTCCTCTTCCTCCTCAGCGGGGAACAGGCGCGAAGCGAACACAGCCGGAGACGGAGGGGACGCGGGAAGCGGAAGAGGCAGGGTAGCGAATGGGGGAGACGCAGGGAGCGGAGCGACAGGACCCGCCCACGCGTGCTCGCTCCCCTCGCTCTCTGCGGGCGCGTCGCTCCCCGCGCTCTCACCTGCGGACGACGTGGAGGAGGTAAAGGACAGCTGCATCGGCGCGGGGGCGTACGCAGGCGCCTCTACCGCCACGTACGCAGGCGCAGGCGCAGGCGCGGCGTGCATCCCGCGCACGACCGCGTCAATCGCGCGCGGCGAGGGGAGGTCGGCGTCCTGCTCTTCTTCCTGCTCCAGCGCCAGCTCCTGCTCCTGCGCCTCGAGCCCGGGGTATTGCTGCGCCTCGAGGTCGAGGTATCCGCCGAACGCCGGGGGCGCGTGCGCGTGCGCGTTCAGCTCCTGCTGTTCCTCCAACTCCACCTCCACCTGCGGCGCCTCGAGGTCGGCAAAGTAAGGACGCGCGCGCGCGTGCATCCCGCGCACGACCGCGTCAATCGCGCGGGGCGAGGGGAGCTCTTCTTCTTCCTCTTCCTCTTCTTGCGCCTCGAGGTCGGGGTATTCGGAGCCAGAAGCGTGGTGGGACGGCGCGGGGAAGGGGTACCCCGGCTCCGGCTCCGCGTCCGCGTCTGACGGCGGGAGAAGCGGGGGCGGGGCGAAGGGATCGTGGGCAGGGGAAGCGGGGCTGGGGGGCGCGTCAGCGCTCGTGTTACCGTTATGGGGGGACTGGGAGGGGGAGGGGACGTACGCGGGGGCGGGTGCTGCGCGTTCCAGCGGCGCGGAAAAGAGCTCGTAATCCCCCTCCACTTGCTCCGCCGCGCGCGCCAGACTGAGACTGGCGGGCGGCGGGCGGGCGGTGGGCGGCGGCGGGGAGAGCGGCGGGGAGGGGAGGTGCGTGTGCGGCGGGGAGGTGGCGCGCGGGGTATTCATAGCGGTAGTGGTATTCATAGCGGTCGTGGGATTCATAGCGGTCGTGGTATTCATAGCGTTGATAGTGGCCTCCGGGAGCGGGAGCGGGGGCAGCGGCCGCAGCTCGGGGTCCGGCGGGGCGGGGAGCGGCTTCGTCTTATCCGCGCTCGTCGTCCGCGACACGGGGAGGGGCACGGGCTGCATGACGCTGCCGGGGTGCGCGAGGGCCCACGCGGCGGGGGACGGCGGGACGGAGACGTCGACGAGCTCGTCCGGGCGGTCGACGTCGACGAGCGGGGGGTGCTTGGAGGTGGAGGCGGAGGAGGAGGCGGAGAGGGAGGAGAGGGAGCCCCAGCTCGCGGAGAGGTCGACGAGCGGGACGTCCTGCGGGCCCGGCGTTGGAGGCGACACACCCGGCGGCTCGGAAACGTCGCGGCGGAAGCGCGGGAGGACGGGGCCGAGGCTCTTGGCGCGGCGGAGGCCGAGCAGCGTGCGCGCCGTGCGGGGGTGGCCGCGGCCACGGAGGGGTTCGCGGGGGAACTCGGCGGCGGCGAGCGCGGAGGTACGGCCGCTCGTGGGGAGCGTCGGCGCGGCGGGGATGATGGGGCGCCAGGATGGGAGGTACACGGCCAGCAGGAGCAGCAGAAGGAGGAAGAGCGGGAAGAGGAGGACGAGCGAGGGCCCGCCGGCGGGGGAGAGGGCCGGCGGCAGGAAAGGCAGTAGCGGCGCGGGCAGAAGAGGCATCGCAGCGTAGAATTCTTCAAGAATTATTGAAGCAGCAGATCTGCAACTAATCCGTTAGTTCAGTAACGGGAACAGAGATATTTTGCGGGGGACATGGGCGGAGGAGGAGAGAAGGGGAATGCGGATTTTGGGCCGTGTGCCAGACGCGAGGACGCCACGACCTGCATCGTGATCGGCAGTCAACCCGGTAACGTGCCCCGGAGATACGGACAAATAACGCGTGTTTAAGCACGCGCGTCTTGAAGCGCACCTTACTCAACACCGTTCAGTGCTAATAATCGGGTGTGGTGCACGGTGCACGGCGGCTAATACTAGGTGTGTGAGTGCTCCAGTCTGATGTAAGCCGCAGACCGGGGTTCGACTCCCCGCGCCCGAACTGTTATATGTAGCGCGTTTTTTACTTTGCTCTGCTAATTTATGCTACATCCAGGCTGAATCCCATTCGCAGCGGCCAGCAATTCTACATGTATTCGCACGGGCGTGTTCATCATATATCTCCACATCGCACATCTCCACATCATCCACGCATACTTACCTCATATCTCATATCTCACACGCACATTTCCGCATAAAACGCATTCACATTCCATTCGCCCCCCTCCCCCCGGACTCGAGTACATATTTGGTACTTAGCACACAGCAATGTAATTAATAGCAGCTTAATGTACGTTGGAGGGTGCGGTTGAAAGGTCGAGGGAAGCTGGAGCCCGGTCCCGGTCGCGGGGCTGGTCTGTCGGCATCGGCCCTGCTTCACCGACGCGCGCCCAGCGCTAAATATCGGGCGTGGTGCACAGTGCACGGCGGCTCCCATTCGGGATAGCGCAAACTAAACTTGCAAGCCGCAGACCGGGGTTCGACTCCCCGCGCCCGAGCTGGGGTTACCGCCAGTTCTTTTTGGAAGTTCTACTCTGTCCTGATTTAAATCTAGCCTGCTTCTTCTGCGTCACACAGCAATTCGCCGCTATCCGCGTGGGTGGGTGTGTTCGGAATCTTCGAGGCCTGAGCAAGGCCTGAGAACCGTGCAATGGGTTGAAACAGCCGTGCCTCGGTTGCGCTCTAGTACTTTATTAACGCGCGTTCCGAGCTACATATCGGGCGTGGTGCACGGCGCACGGCGGCTACCATTCCTGATTTCGTCGAGTGGAATGTTGCAAGCCGAAGCCCGGGGTTCGACTCCCCGCGCCCGAACTAGAAGGCTCCGAGGTCGAGTTTTTATTTTGTTCCACTTCTAATTCATGCTAAACCTAGGCAACTTAATCCGAATACGAGTCGGATGAACCCAGCAATTCTCCTGTACGGGCAGGTGTGTTCGAAATCTGTGCGAGGCTCAAGGACCTTGCAACTAGCTGAAACGGCGTCACGAACGCGCTAGTACTTTACCGACGCGCGTTCAGAGCTAAACATCGGGCGTGGTGCACGGCGCACGGTGGCTACCATTTCGTCGACTGCGGATGTTGCAAGCCATAGACCGGGGTTCGACTCCCCGCGCCCGAATCAGGGAATAAAGTTGGTATTTTTATTTTGTTCTTCTAATTTATGCTACATTTAGGCTGAATCGCAGTCGCAGTGACCAGCAATTCTGTACATGTATGTTCGCGCCGCCGGGCGGGCTCTGTGTGAGGCCCAAGAATCGTGCAATTGGTTGAAACGGCCTCGCGAACGGGTCGAATGGACTCTAGTACTTTACCGACACGCGTTCACGGTTAACCATCGGGCGTGGTGCACGGTGCACGGCGGCTACCATTTCACGAGGGGAAAAAGCAAATGCTGCAAGCCGCAGCCCGCCTCCCCGCGCGCGAACTATAATGTTGGAGTAGTTTTTATTTTGTTCCACTTCATAATTGATCCTAAATCTGTGCAGCTTTATCCGAATCCAAGCCACATGAAACAGCAATTCTGTGCATGTATTTGCGCGGGCGGGTGTGTTCGAAACTTGTGAAGGAGCCTGGGTTGAGATGCCGCCAGTATTGGTTCAAGTTGAACCCCGCGGCCGAAGGCGGTTGAAATCGACCCTCCTTTACCGACACGCGTTCACAGCTGAACATCGGGCGTGGTGCACGGTGCACGGCGGTTGCAATTTCGTCGAGGGAAAATAAGAAAATGTCGCAAACCACAGACCAGGGTTTGACTCCCCGCGCCTGACCTGGCCCATTCCCGCTTGAATTTTTTTCTCCGTCACCTCATCCAGTAACGAGTTGCAATTCATGCAACAGTCCAGAAAATCCCAGGTATTTCTCTTGTTTGGGGGACATACAGATTATGCTAAGAAATCGGGTGTGGTGCACGGTGCACGGCGGCTAATAGTAATTTCGGCAGTAGATGTAGGCCGCAGACCGGGGTTCGACTCCCCGCGCCCGAATTAGGAAGGCCTGGGATTTTTTATTTTGTTCTTCTAAGTTATGTTCTATCCAGTTCGCAGCAACCGGCAGGTCTATACATGTATTCGCGCGCGGACGGGTGTGTAACAGTGTTCGATGTTGTTGTGAGTCCCAGGAACCTTGGACTTGCAATTGGTTGAAATGGCCTCGCGAACGCGTCGACTCGGCATGGACTCTAGTACCTCACCGACGCACGTTTGGAGGAGAATATCGGGCGTGGGGCACAGTGCACGGCGGCTACTATTGGTCCGTCAACGCTCCAGTTCAATGGCCAGCCGCAGATCGGGGTTCGACTCCCCGCGCCCGAATAATCCACTACGGCATCTCTTTTTCTTCGCCCGCAGGTAATTCAATGGACCCACATGCATTCTCACAATTAACAGTATCATCCCGTCTCCTCAGCTCGAGTAAGGATGATTATAGGTCCCGAGGGTGAAAGATCAGAATCGAACCCGCATCGCCGAGGCCCGTTCAACAGTAAATATCGAGCGTGGTGCACGGTGCACGGTGGCTACCGCTTGGTCAGCCAAACTTCTGCAAGCCGTAGGCCGGGGTTCGACTTCCCGCGCCCGACCTATACCCGGTTGAATCTTTTTCACCTTCACCTCATTCGCCAGTCCAGCATTGAGTTACAATTCAAGCAGCAGTCCAGAAAATCTCAAATATTTCTCTTCAGAACCATAGACTTCTTTCGAGGTAATGCACGTTTTCTTGGAATCACAGATTATGCTAATATTCGGGTGTGGTGCACGGTGCACGGCCGCTTCCACTGGTTGTACAGCATTATAAGTTACAGAACGGGTTCGACTCCCCGTGCCTGAATTGATCTTCGGCCACCCCTTTTTCCCCCGTTGTCTGGCACCCAGGGTCCAAACGCAGCCACGATACATTCGCCGGGATTTAATCATCATCCCGTTCTTTCGCAGCTCGAGTAGGTTCCGAGGATGAAATATCAGAATCGAACCCAGCTTACCGAGTCTCGTTCAACAGTAAATATCGGGCGTGGTGGACGGTGCATGGCGGCTTCCACTGAGGCAACGAAAATAGATGAAAGCCGCAGATCGGGGTTCTACTCCCCGCGCCGAAATTGGGAATCCGTTGCTTCTTGAATTTGGTTGCTCGACGGTTTCCCCTGAAGTAAATCTGAATCTACCAGTAAACGGACAAATAAAACTCTCGTCCAAGTTCGTGATTGCGCTCAACACAGTCTTTGAAAGTGCCTTCCTCAGTGGAGATACACCGCCCTTTGAACCCTGTTCATAGGGTTTTGGAAAGATACCTATCGGGCATGGGTGCCAGTACAGGCTGCACTGCGCATAGTATTCCTTACTGGTGTGCATAGACGCTAGAACAAGCCGCAGACCGGGGTTCGACTCCCCGCGCCCGAATTTACCCCTTCGGCCCCCGTTTTTTTCGCCCGTTGTCTGTGAGTCAGCTGAGCCTCGATGCATTCCTCGCGATTCTCATAATTATTATCCCCTCTCATTTGCAACTCACGCAAAGAAGGATCACAAGTCCCGAGGAGATCCGAATTAGACCCAGATATTGCCGAGTCTCGTTCAAAAGTAAATATCGGGCGTGGTGCACGGTGCACGGCGGTCACCATTCAATCTTCGCAGATTCTTGCAAACCGCAGACCGGGGTTCGACTCTCCGTGCCCGACCTAGAAGATCGCTGTACACCTTTTTTTTCCTTCCTCACTCGTCCGCGAAGATGCATCGGGTCGCAATTCAAGCAGCACAGTTCAGAAAATCCATATTTCTCTTGTTTGGGGCAAATGCACATATTATTGGAATCACAGATCATGCTAATAATCGGGTGTGGTGCACGGTGCACGGCGGCTACCATTTCGCGCACATGTAAGATTGCAGGCCGCAGACCGGGGTTCGACTCCCTGCGCCCGAATTAGGGTGGCTGAATTATTTTGTTCTTCTAAGGTGTGCTACATCTAGGCTGAATCCACGTCACATAAAACAGCAATTCTGTGCATGTATTTGCGCGGGCGGGTGTGTTCGAAACTTGTGGAGCCTAGGTTAAGATGCCGTGAGTATTAGTTCAAGTTGAACTCCGATTCAAGATCGTTGGAATCGACCCTGCTTTACCGATCCGCGTTCACGGCTAACCATCAGGCGTGGTGCACGGGGCACGGCGGCTACCATTCCATAAGGGCCACAAGGATAATGTTGCAAGCCGCAGACCGGGGTTCGACTCCCCGCGCCCGACCTTAACCGAACCAGTTAAAATTTTCTCTCCTTCACCTCATTCATCAGTCCAATATCGAGTTGCAATTCATGCAGCACAGTCCGGAAACTCACAAATTTTTCGTGTTTGGCGGAAATGCACGTCTTCTGGAACCACGGATTATGCTGATACTTGGGTGTGGTGTACGGTGCACGGCGGCTACCATTAATAGAATTTCGAGTGCGGGAATGTTGCAAGCTGCAGATCGGGGTTCGACCTCCTGCGCCCGAGCTGGACAAATTCAGAGTCCTGTTTTCCTTTTGTGCCATTTCCATTTCAAACTCTTTATCCTAAATCCTAACCCGTATCCTGCCCAGCTGAATGACTCAGTTCATCTCCGCCGATCCGGTGCACAAGTCCTGCAGAAAATTGGCAGTGCTTGAACCCTCGTTACGGACTCGGCGTTGCATTGACAGCTAAATCTCGGGCTCCCATTCATCCGGAAGAAAACGAGTATGGTCCCGCGCCCATGGCCAAACTGTGCATTTGTTCAGTGTGTTTTATTTTATTTAGTTCCACCCGACCCGGAGCTGGATACTGACCCCAAATGAAATGAATTCTCCTGCGCCTGTCAGTGCATCCTACCTTCCCGAGGCGTGCTCACAGCGAATAATCGGGCGTGGTGCACGGTGCACGGCGGCTACTATTTCATGAGGGAAATGGAACAATGGAAGCCGCAGACCGGGGTTCGCTTCCCCGCGCCCGATTTGAACGGGGGGAGCTGAGTCATTTTCCTTTCGGTAAGTAGTCAATAAAACTCTATATGTATGTACGACCCTAGGCGGGCGGAAATTATCCAATGAAGGAGAGCACTATGATGAGCAGGAAGTTGCGGTGCAGCGGGTATATCGGCTGCGTCATGTAAGCTAGTTTCCGTCGCACTGTCATGTAAGCTGATATTCGTCGCATACTTAGTACCATCTAGATCACTTGGGATGGTTCGCTGTGCAGAAACCGGCGCTTCTGCAAGCAGCGACACGTCCTACTCATTGCCGAGCCATCGGACGAGCCACCCGCGCTCGAAGTCCTCCGAGTCGACAAGCACGCTGTCGCGCAGCTTCCCTCGCTGGCGGCTATAGTACACCCACGCAAAGTCCAGGTAGAACGCCGTTTGAACGAGGCTGCACAGAACGGCGATAGGATCGACTACGCTTTCGAACACGTAGCGCCAGATCCAGTTCAGAATGTACAGGGCGCGATATGAGCCGAGCGCGAGCAGGTAGCGCGAGGTGATCACAGTCGGGACGGTGGTTTGCCACAGGAGGATGAGTTGTGGGACGACGCATACAGATTCGAGAGCGATGGAGAAGGCCCACAGGACCTAAAACGTCGGGTGATTACAGGGTGCAATTGATACGATATGGCTCTTTTGCGTACCTCGGTCAGAGTAAAGCGATAATTGAAAACGAGAGAGAAAAGGCAAGCAACTATGAGCGAAATACCGGCTGCCCGCCGAGCCATTTGTCTCTCGGGTGTGCGGGGATAGATCCAGCGCATGAGCACGAGGACATAGAATGCCGATACGATGTAGACGATTTTAGAATGGTGTTGTATACAGAGACGAAGCGCATGCCAAGGTCGAGGTAGCGCGTGAGGAACACAAGCGTGTACATGGCCTGTGTCAGATACTTTATTAGCTCATCTTAAGTTCTAGGCGGTTCGGAGAGGGATGGGACTATGGGGATGATGGCGGAGTATTGATGGCGGACAGTCCGCCGGAGCCCGCAGCAAATTCCCCGCCGCCAATTGTCTGGGGCCAATTCCCTGTGGCGAAGTATCTGTGACGATTCCCCCCTACGTACTTCTCCGCATATAATGCTATTCACATAAAAGTGCACGGCCAATTGTCTGGGGCCAATTCCCTGTGGCGAAGTATCTGGGATGATTCCCCCCTACGTACTTCTCCACATATAATGCTATTCACATAAAAGCGCACGGCGCCTCATGTCAACGTACATCACTGGAACGGAAATCTCCATGGTCCTTCCTGCCTGGTGGATCCTATGCACCCGGATCCCTGGGGCGTCTTACATGTAACACATTGCCTGCAATGATGCCGGCATCCCCGTGTCTCGGCCCGACGTTGAAGGCTGGGCCAAGCTAGGCCACGCGCTGCAAGGTACATCCTCCCACAGCTCCCATACTCTTGCTAACCCCCACGCAGACCCCGACCTTTCCTCAGCACGCTCCTCATCCCCACCCGACGCAGACCTTGAAGAGGAGGGCGTCGGTTGCGCACACACGTGCTTGCATACAAGCAAGATGCGTCGTCCCCCACCCCTAGTCCCACAAGGAGCGCCCCCACCTCCGCCCCGCCTCTGTTGCCCTCTACGTGCCCACGGCCCCGCTCACGCTCACACTGGCGCCGGTGCCCGCGTCTGTCGCGAGCACCCCACAGCCATTCCTCTGTGCGGGGTGTCGCGCGGATGAATCCTCGCGGGGGTTCGCATGCGGGGAGTTCTGCCTGGCAAATTCTGCCCGGTTATTCCTCTGTGCGGGATGTCGTGCAGACGAATCCTCGCAGGGGTTCGCATGCGGGGAGTTCTGTGCGGTGAATTCCCCATGACCAATCCTCTCTGAACAGAAAATGTGCACGTGCACATCTTCCTCTTGCTGCTCGCCCTCCCTCGCACATCGCTTGTCTGTGCTGCCGCCGCCACCGTCTCTGTGCTGTCACCACCCTTGAGAACCACCTGCTACCCAATCCCTCCACCCCACTGGCGACCCTCCGCCGCTCGCAGCCACGCCCGTTTCGTGTCTCGGGCCACAGATGCTGCAGGGGAGTCCCTGCAGCGACTCTGCTACAGGAATTCTTCTGCAGCGCTCCAGGGCCTTCATGCACCTCGGCTGTTCAATTCCACAAAGCTGAAACTATGCCCATGCAAATTGGTGTGCTCCGGAGGCTGAAAGTATGGCCGTTCAAATTTTGGTGAGTTCCTTTTCTCAACTTGTGTTTGAACACTTACCCTGTTGGATTACTAACAGGACTTCGTGTACGCCCCTCAGCTCCTCCGACCGGCCAAAACTACGGCAGTGTGAATCTCGGTGAGCTGTGTTATCACCCTGTATTCAAACACTTACCGTGTTGCATTCGATACCAGGACTTCGCACACACTCCAACGAAACTATGATCCTACGAAGACTGGTATGTTCTTTTACCACCGCGTGTATTTGACCACTCACCGTGTTGTCTTTCATGCACGTCTCATCTTTTCGTTCCGGCTAAACACCGAAACTATGCCTGACTGAATACTGGTAAGTTTATTTCAAACCCTTACTTATTTGATGGCTGACCATGTTCATTTGTAGGACTCCGCACATGGATATCGCCCCGAATGATCCCTCGCGGGGGTTCATGTGCTGGGAATCCTGCCCTGCGAATCCCCCACCGGTAATGCTCTGTGTGGGTATCGCCCTGGAGGTTTGCTTGCAGGGAATTCCTTGCAGAGAGTTGCCCGCGAGGCTTTGCGTATGGGGGATGCTCTGCGGCGGATCGCTTGCAGTGATTTGCTCACGATGCCTTTTCTCCGAGGGAGGGTCTGTGCGGACATTGCCGCAGGGACTTCGCCGCACAAGATGGCTTGTGCCCGAATGGCCGCATTGCTTACTCTGCATGGACCTCATTGTGATGAGATCCCTGCAGGATAATTCTTGCGGCGCATACGCTGCACGGATCGTCTGCAGGGATATCTTCCATGCTGGACTTCGGACTCACTGGCTACGTTTATTGTATGTAGATAGTAGCTTAATTTCAGGATGCTTTTCAGAAGCTTAGCTCGGGACTGATGGGTTTGAAGCTGTGCTGCACATGGCTTAATTAAGAATGCCCATTTTGGGACTTGATCTCAATCCAAACCACCACCATCGTCTACTCGGTGCTGAGCTGCCATTGCTTACAGCAGATGCCTGCACTGGTCTGACTGGGTTGAAAGTAGGTAACATTAATCGGAGGCACTTTTTTGGAATGAAGAAGTACATGCATGTTAATCGTAGGGGCGGAATATGTGTACATCAATTGCAAGGCGATATTAGCAGAAGCGCATGAGGTGCGGGGAGTACCCCGAAGGGTACCTCCCGCAGGGATGTTCCGGCGGAGTCCGCCGGACTCCGGACTCCGCCATCATTCCCATAGTTTCAACCTTATGGCGGTTCGACCGCTTTTACAACTCAAGTTACAATAGATCTTAAGTTCTGGTACTTGCTAAACTAAAATAAACTGACAAAAGGCGGGTTCGAACTAAGGGCCTCGGCATTACAGGCCAAATTTGAAATATGGCGATCAACCACTTACACTAACAGACAGTTAAGAACTGTGCTGTGTTCCCACTTAGGATAGGGTCACCTCTGGTGCCCTGACCCTAAGTGGGAACAGCTAATACTCAGACCTAGGGCAGGCAAGCTGTCCTAGGTCTTCGAAATTGTACTACAATGCTTAATATATGTTTTCATGCTGTTTAAAACCCTAACTAACCCTAACCAACCCTAACCAACCTAACCATCAAATGCTTATACATTACCTGCAACAGCCTTCTACAATATCCCTGGGAACTAAGCCTTAACCCTCCTTAACCACTAACTCTAACCCCTAACCCCTAACTCTAACCCCTAACCTGGCCCCTAAGGCGGGGCCCAGTGGTAGGGAAACATGCTTATTATGTGTTTTGTGTTTGGGATTTAGGGTCAGGGCACCAGAGGTGACCCTAGCTTAGGTAGAAACACAACTCTGCTTTTAATGCTCTTATGGAGTTGGTTCATTGCAGAGCTAATAATTTGATAGGTAATAATGATGTCGCCGGTTCGAGCCAGCCTTTTGACGCTTTATTTTGATTTAGCAATTAACAGAACTTAAGATCTATTAGAACTTGAGATCCAAAAGCGGTCAAATCGCCCAGAACTTAAGATGAGCTAATCTAATTTTATCCTGTGTGGAAGGAAATGCCTTCAGACGGCGTGGGTGATGTGAAATGCCTACTCAGACGGGGTGTCATTTACCTTCGGCGCTTTTATTTCGGTGAATAAACCAGATGAGAATGCATTTCGAGGCCATGTGCGCCAAGTCGCCCGCGAAGGAGCTCATCGCGTGTATCTGGAAACTACGCGGCAAACTGGTTCAAAAAGGTCGAAAGGTCGGATGCCGCGCGAGGAGGTGGACGTGGAAGGACGTGGAAGGACGGGAAAAGACGACGTGGAATTCACACGGCTTTAAGGATGTAGCCTCGTGCACAGCCCGTACGCGTCCCTGCATATAGGCGCCCCAGATCCAGATGATTACTGCCGTAGTGCTGAATTCCTTCGTCCCTGAACAAGGAGTTTCTGCTCCATGCTCTATAAAGGGGTCTAAGCAGAAAATAAATTAACATCTGGGTGTATACTATGACTCGAAGTGTACATCCTTCACCCCCTCCGTCGCTACGGCCGATCCTCGCGGCCCCGAGTCAAGGGTGTTCCATCGATCTCGTCGCTATTTTGTGAAGCGTCACCCAAACTTTCCGCAACTTGGGAATCGGAAATCTTCCAAGGTTCCTGGATACAAACTTCGATCAGGTACAACCCTGCTGATGGCACATCCGTTATAAAATGTCCCCTCGGAAGTCAGCACTTGGTCGACGCAAGGGGGATTGCAGCGGTTGACTTTGTGCCGTCCGAAGGCTCCAGCACAGCAGATCGACGCTCCCCATGCAGAGGTATGATGCCAAAACGTTGCTCACTATCTGCCCGGCTCCTCCTTCTTGAAGATATGCCGTCGACTCAGATTCGTTGTCGGCCGTCACAAAAAATGGCCAGCGTATGGCTCGTTGCTTTGAACACCGCCAATCGCCGCAGCACCGCGTCCCTGTAGAAATCTTTAACAGTAGACGCAGGGAAGGGTCGGAATCCGGAGCCTGGGTCTCGTACCAGCACTCGTATCGTAATTATCGACGCGGGAAGGGACATACACGGGTGTCTGCTCCTCATAATGGTCGGGAATCGCGCCCGCCATCCCCCGCCTGCACCATCTGAACGTAGTGGAATCGTGCGGTCGAGAGGGCGGGGGGAGCGGCGAGGGGCGGCGCGTGTGTGATCGCGGGTATTCAAAGATATTGGTGGAGCGCGGCTGCAGCGGGAGGGTATCCTGGGTGCAGATATTCATCTCAGCGGCGGGTGTTAGTTTCATCTCCGTATCACGCGCACGCCGAAAGACGGAGACTGGGACGAGCCAAGGGCGCACAACGCTCCACGAATGCGCGAGTGCTCACATGGCGCGGGTTGGTTGCGTCGATGAGGGGGCGTGGTGGTGCTTTGAGGTACTTAGACGCGGAGGAGGAGCAGCGGAGATGGACGAGGGGGGATTCCAGCTCACGGAGAGGTCCACGAGCGGTACGCCGTACGGGCCGGGATTGAAGGGCACAGACATCACACCAGGGAGGAGCGGGGTCGGTGCAGAAACGTCGCGGAAGAAGCGCGGGAGGCTCCTTGCGCGGCGCAGGCCGAGCAGCGCGCGCGCCCTGCGGCCGTGCGCGTGGCCCCGCCCGCGGGCGTGGAGGGGTGCGGGCGGGTACTCGGCGGCGGCGGGCGCGGAGGTGCGGGCGCTCGTGGGGAGCGTCGGCGCCGCGGGAAGAACGGGGCGCTATGATGGGAGGTACACGGCCAGCAGCAGGAGCGGGAAGAGGAGGGCGAGCGAGGGCCCGCCGGCGGGGGAAAGGGCTGGCGGGAGGAAGGGTAGCAGCGGCGCGGCATCGCAGCCTAGAATTCTTCAAGAGTTATTGAAGCGACGGATCTGCGAGTAATCCGTTAGTTCAGTAACGGCCACAGACAGATTTTGCGGGGGACATGGGCGGAGAAGGAGAGAAGGGGAATGTGGATTTTGGGCCGTGTGCCAGACGCGAGGACGCCACCACCTGCATCGTGATCGGCAGTCAATCCGGTAACGTGCCCAGGAAATACAGACAAACAACGCGTGTTCAACCCAGTGCGTTTTGAAACACACCTTACCAAGTTCTGTTCAGTGCTAATAATCGGGTATGGTGCACGGTGCACGGCGGCTACTATTGAACCATTCCTCTAGCCAATGACCAGCCAATGACCGGGGTTCGACTCCCCGTGCCCGAACTATTATAGGTAGCATTATATTTTGTTCTTCTAATTTATGCTACATATAGGCTGAATTCCAGTTGCATCAGCTGGCAATTCCGTACATGTATTCACGCGGGCGGGTGTGTTCCGTGTTCGAACTTTTTCGCAGGCCTGAGAACCGTGCAATGGGTTGAAACGGCCGCCGCCTCGCGACCGCGTCGACTCTGAATGAACTGTACATAGTAATTTACCGACGCGCGTTCAGAGGAAACTCTCGGGCGTGGTGCACGCTGCACGGCGGCTACCATTTCGCCCACGGGTAAGATTGCGAGCCGCAGACCGGGGTTCGACTCCCCGCGCGCGAACTATAATATCGGAGTAGTTTTTATTTTGTTCCACTTCTAATTTATGCTAGATTTAAGCAGCTTCGTCTGAATTCGAGTCGCATACACCAGAAACTCTGTACATGTGTTCGCGTGGACGGGTGTGTTCGAAAACTTATGAAGGAGCCTGGGTTGGGATGCCGCGAGTATTGGTTCAAGTTGAACCCCGATTCAAAGGCGGTCGAAGTCGACCCTCCTTTACCGATGCGCGTTCAGAGCTAAGTATCGGGCGTGGTGCACGGTGCACGGTGATAATTTCGCTCGGTCCCACAAATTGCAAGCCGCAACCCGGGGTTAGACTACCCGCGCCCGAATCAGGGAATAAAGTGACGGTATTTTTATTTTGTTCTTCTAATTTATGCTACATGTAGACTGAATCGCAGTCGCAGTGACCAGCAATTCTACATGTATTCGCGCGGGCGGGTGTGTTCGAAACTTGTGGAGGAGCATAGGTTAAGATGCCGCGAGTATTGGTTCAAGTTGAACCCCGATTCAAGATGGTTGGAATCGACCCCTGCTTTACTGACCCGCGTTCACGGCTAACCATCGGGCGTGGTGTACGGGGCACGGCGGCTACCATTTCGAGCACATGTAAGATTGCAGGCCGCAGACCGGGGTTCGACTCCCCGCGCCCGAATTCTTCTACTGTGCTTTTTTTTCGCCCGCAGGCAATTATTCAATAGAGCCCCGCCGATACATTCTCATAATTATCATCCCGTCTCTTTTTGTAGCTAAAGCAAGGATGATCCAAAAATCACAGAGTCCCGAGGGTGAAAGATCAGAATTGAACCCAGATTACCGAGTCCCGTTCCGTCGCGCGTGGTGTACGGGGCACGGTGGTCTCCATTAACAGGGCGTTTTCGCAGTACAACTCGCAGCTCGGGGTTCGAATCCCCGCGTCCGACCTTGTTCTCGTCGTTTTTTTTTCCACTCTGGTTTATACACCTGCGCGCGCTGATAATACAAGCCGGGGTTCGACTCCCCGCGCTTGACCTCGCTGTCTCTTTGTTACATTTCTAAATCTTATCCTGTTTCCCAACTGACGTTGCCAATGTGCTTGAAGTTGCTGAACGGTTGCCAATGTGCATATTTTAATTTTATATACCCCTGGCGGTGCGATGAAGCTCTTATTGTTCAGGCAGTTGGACGACACAACTATAGTTCAACCTCTGGGTCCATTTATTTGTACATTCTAGGGACAGCTCGTAGAGTGGGGCATAGTTCATTCTCAGACACTGTACCCACTGCCCTCTCCATTCCCAATGAAACCTACAGTCTCGTTCTGGCTGAACAAGGGAGCAAACTCGTCCTCTTCCACCTTTCCAAACGGAAACTCGGGGAAAAGTTCCTCGGTAATGGAGTCTTTCGTGATGTTGCAGGTGTCTGCCATGTTAAAGATCACCGTCTTGATGAAAGGGTTCCGCGCTCAGTAGCGCGCTTCATAACGAGTGCATCTATCATAGCACGCAAGTCTTCTGGCCCAATTACCACCCTTGTCCCATCGCATCGCGCCCTGCTTGAGAACTCTGAGCATATGTCTGCGAGGTCACAGTCCTGACGATACGTGTTAGTGTTGCATCGGAGGTACTCTCTAGAAAGAGAGGAGATATCGATGGCATACCTTGAAAGCGGGGTTAGACGTCACGGTCCGCCACGCGGTGAGGTATTCCAGGTTGTACTCGATCTTGTCGGCGGGCGGGAACGCGGAGCCTTCGGCTGCCAAAATGGTCGTTCCAGATATCGAGGCTGGCGCGAACGGCGACATTTCAAGAGGGATTTGATGTAGTGGTGGATACTGCGGCACGAACGGAAACGCGTCCGTGACATGGCCATTGTGTTCCTGATGAGCTCCACGTTCCTCATAAACCACATTTATGGTCCATCCCTCCCAAGTGTTGTTTAGGCCAAAGTGGCAAAAAGGACAAGGAAACTCCTTGGAAGTGCCAAAACAGTCGATGTGGCTCCAAATCTTGCAAGTCTGGCATCTGACCGTGGCCCGCGGGCCGGGAGCTACGACGGTACCGGTTGAGTACAAGTTTGAATATATAAAGTCACACTTACCCTGATCGCCACAGAACAACGAAACTGCTCGTCGAGGCCAACAACCTCGCGGCAGACAGAGCAAATCTCCAGCGGGCTGGGAGCATCGTGAGACACTACCGCGCTATCGACGGTCGTTGTCGCAAGCGTGATTTCTTCGCGAACATATCCCGCGCAGCGGTGCGGACTTCGCCCATCGATCGATGCCAATTTATGGACGGACGATGACTTCACGTCGAGATCCGCCGCAATTCGACTGGCGACAGTGGTTAAAGACTGCTGTCCGCAATCCATAGTTCGCCAAACGTATTCACGTCGGGGGGGGACGGGAGCCACTTGCTCTGGAATATTGTGCGGCGGCGACAAATCGTTAGATAGCAATGAAGCCATCAAGGACCGCGCGGTTGAATTCCGAGGGACAGAATGTGTTCGGTCCAAGACCGCAGGAGTCCTCTCAATGTCTTCGTCTGCAGCCGAGATGTGAGGTAAAACATTGGATTACGGTGAGTGGTGGCGGCTTACTGTGCAATACCCGGTTGGCAGACCTCAAAACCTGAATAAGATTTAATCTAAATCCTAAATTAATATTGGAGCATGAACAGATACCTTTTGACACAGTGCATTGAAGATGGCCCAAGAACTAGTAGTATTATCTGCCAGCTGTCCATCGTCGCTACTAGTTTTCTGGGTCGAGATGAGTGGGTTGGCGCTGATTAAGAACCGGTCATTTATATCGAGAAAAACGTCAAAGTTCTGACGTTGTCAGGTCATTGGGATGAAAAGAGGGAAATAATATGCCTGCACCTCTACGCCAAGAGAAGCAAACGATATCCCTTGAACGCTAAGATGATTCATGCCCGACTGAGGTTCACGCAGAAGTGTGAATAAATGAGCGGCGAGAATGTATGAGACCTACTGAGAGTCCTGCGATCTACGAGGGCGTGTCAGTCCCGCAGAGCTCTATCGCTGCAGCGTTTGCGAACCATTTTGAACCCCAACGTAATGCTCCTCGTAAGATCGTCCTTGAGCGCGGCTGCGAGTGGGCCATCCGGAGTCTTCCAACGAGCTGGGAGTATATGTTTTCAGCTTCAGGCTCGCGTTGATTCATTATAATGAATTACCATTTTCATAAGCAATAAAATGAGTCAATGATGCTGGCGAAGAAATTCCTTCGATTCGGAGTACGTTCGGATGCCTGAGCACATCATCAGTCAGCGGCTGAGCTTGAAAAAGTGTTATACACGCATGAATCCCTTAGATAGGGCTACTATCGACTCCAGTTGCTTCGGTCCGTGTCAGGAAAGAAAGCAGGTATTCCATATCCCCATACCTCTTGGACAGTCGGGCCTGGATTGAAAACTTTCACGATAACGGCACGACCCTTGGCTTTGCCCGTGTGCAGGAAGTATCCGGGGCCACTCCCGATCTCAAGAGTGAGTTTGAGATCTTTGTTTCGAATTACCTAGTACAATATCAGCCCCGGAGCTTCAAAAAGGCGCAGTCTACGGACTTGGATTCCATCCCTCGACCTCGAATCCCGACGACGACGTTTACGCGAGAGTTCCATTATCGCCAACGGATCTGATGTATCTGCCAGGGAGATAGTCAAGAGGGCGAATCTCCTACTGGCAGAGAATGAGTATACACCATTGATCGCTTCTCGACGGCGCTTCCTCCCGTAGAAAGTATTGAAAGTGTTCTGTACGAAGTTGCCATGGATGTTGTTGTAGACGCCGTCTCCGAAGGTGACATGGTCGACGTTCGAGACGAAGGGCATCGGGGCGAGACGGGAGGGTTTGGGACAAGGACCACGAGGCTGCGGAGAATGTGTGACAGTGCTGTGTCAAGCTGTTGCGGTCATGTGGACAAAATTAGTCAAGCGGGGGGGGAAATCGGAGGATTTCATATAGCCTCTGTGAGCCGAGCAAGAGGCAAGCGGATCATTGATCTCGCACACAGATCAAGGCAGGTGATGAACCATCCCCTGCCTAATCCGGAAATCCATCGAACCAAAGCTGTTTTCGCCGTTATTACATGTGGTACACAAGAAAGAGTCCATATAATCGACAATTAAGTACTTCTAGTAGTCAAAATGGTCTCTGAAGAAGGGCAGAATTTTTTTCAGTGCCAGTATAAGTAGAATAATCCGCGAGTCAAATCAATTTTGCTCTATGGTTAGTCGGGTCTTCATTTTCCTTGTCTCGTTGCCTCGGAGACCCTTCCCCACATTTACCACCAGCCATATGTCGCACTAAGGAGGTCTCATTCGACCCCTTAGCAAGTTTCTTCCCGCACTTCGTGCACTCGATTCGCTGTTCCAGCGTGAAGCATTCCCCGAGAACCTGGTTCGAAGGCTGGGACTCATAGCCCGAGAGTGCGAATCTTCCAAGAAAGGTGTCATGTTCATGGCCAGAATTTGTGCCTTCTCCATTACTATGGACATTGCTATCAACAGTATTTACAGAATTAACACATTTTTTGAGGCGGTTCAGGGTGGAAAGATCAAGGGTTTAGAGACCAGCAGGGGCAGGCCGGGGAAAGGGCAGCCAAGAGCCCAAATAGGCAGCCAGCCAGCCAGAGAGTACACCGAGTTAAGAGGCCAGTAGCGGTCAGTGGCACTTCCAGATTAGGCAGGGTATGGTTCATCACGTGCCTTGATCTGTGCAAGATCAATCACACCGATGATTACCATATTTAGGGCCCATCCAGGTTCAATTCGAACACCCAAGTGTCGAGTTGCAAGTAGGTGGGCCTGAAATTTAATTTACTTCTAGTACTTTCGGTCCCACTGATTTTGTAACCTGAAGGGGGAGTGAGCATGCGTGGGCGGGCCCGGTCTCTCTGCTCGCTGCGTCTCCTCCAATCTCTACCCTGCCTCTTCCACTTCCGTTCTCTTCATGGCTATTCCCTGCTCCGCCCGCGGAGGATGATGCAGCAGAGGAAGACGCAGAGGAGGACGAGGGCAGTGAGCACGCATGGGCAGGGGCGGTGCGGCTGGTGGGGGAGGTGCGCGAGGTGTTCGCAGGGCGGGCGCTCAGCAATGTCAATGTCAACGCCAAGTCTGGGGATGTGCACAACCTCGACTCCGAGCAGGTCAAAGAGCACGACCGCGACCCCGCACCGACGGAGGACAGGGACCTCATACAGTGGGACGACTTCACCACCACCCCTGCCCCCGCCGACGCCGCCCCCACCGCCGACCCTTATGATAACGCTCCCGCCTACAACTACGGTCACGATAGCGGGTACGACCATGATTACATGACCGACGAGGACGACGGGTACGCCGCAGAGCGCGAGACGGAGAGCGAGGCGGACGACCCCAGCGAGCTTGCGCTGCCTGTGTTCCCCATTCTCCTTCCTTCCACCGCCAACACTGATGTGCACTCGGAGGCAGAAGTAGAGGTGGAGGAGGCAGAAGTAGAGGTGGAGGAGGCAGAAGTGGAGGCAGATGTGGAAGAAGAAGTAGGGGACCCAGCTGAGCTTGCGCTCCCTGCGATGCCGCTGCTGCTGCCGCTCGTGTACTGTATAATTACATTCAATTCGACCGGGGGTGTGACGCGTGACCCGAATTACCAGTTTGACCATTCGAGCAGG